TGTCCTTCTACTTTACAAAGTGTTACATTTTAGGTCATTCTTTTATGTTATTTAAGTGAAAAATAAATGAGAGCATTGTCTTTTATTAAATAATTTGACTTCAGCTTTTTTTGAGCACATCAGTTAAGTAGACCTGACTGTTATTTAGAGAATTTAGAAACTTGCAAGGACTCTTATATTTTATTACACTTAGTGTTTTCAATAATAATTAAATAAACACATAATAGAAAGTACAGAGAAGTACAAGAAAGAGCAAATAAACTGTAGTGGCTTAGAACAATGAGAATACTGTAGCTGGTGATTCTGTAGGTCATACATTTAGGCTGGGCTCAGCTGGGTGGTTCTTTCCTTCCAAGCAGATTGCCTCATTCATCTATGGTCAGCTGTAGAACTGCTTACCATTTTCTATCTGGGTTCATGCCTAGGGCCTCAGATGTGACTTCTGGCCCATGTGATCTCTCATCTGTCAGTAGGATAATTGAGTTTGTTCAAATGACAGCAGAAGGGTGCAAGCCTTCTTGGGCAAAGGCATTAGATTGGCATACTTCTGTTGTATTCTTTTGGCCTAGGTAGGCCGGGTTGCAAGACGAACCCAGATTTGAGGGGTGAGGAAATGGAGTCCAGCTCTTGATAGAAGGAGCTTCAAGGTCTCATTGCAGCAGATGCAAAAACAAGAAGGAGTAAAGATTATGGGTATTTTTGCAATTTACCACAGTGTGTATATGTGTGTTACATGTACATATGGAAAAATGGACTATATGTGCAATTATACGTTTTTCATATCCAGATAGACTCCAAATCCTAGTTGCAGTTGAATTGAGTATACCGAGGAGATAAAATTATTTCTTACTTGAGAAATTTCTCAGTGCATATATAGAACAAAGGAAGTACTCAGTAAATAAGAAAAGAAAGGAAAAGAAAAAGTAACTTCTTTAGGCAAGTGTGTGAATTCCATTAGGTCCACTTCCTGGTAGGTTTCATTTCTCCTCTGATTTTTGTCAACGTTTATTCTGATGGTTGATGATACCAGGACACTCAAGATAGAAGAGTGTCTGCCTCTGAGCCCCATGTTAGCTTCTCACCATCTCTGAGATCTTGGAAAAGTCCTTGACTCTGTACCTCAGCTTCTTCATCTATTTAATGAAAATAACTATGTCACAGCGTTATTGGGAGAATTTAATTAACTCAGGTATATGAATGTGTGTTGGTAACTCTACATATGTAATTGTGCCCCAAAAACTCTCTCATGCTTTTGTGAAATGTCTGTTAACATTTTCCTACTTAACATTTTTTCCCGCAGCATTTCAAAGTGGCTCTAGCCTTCTTTAAAAGAAGTTGTGCTTTTTTTCTCCCTTAAAGCACTCTTCATTTCTGCTTAGTGCATGTTAAAGGAAATTTAACTTCCACAGCCTTAGCCTGTGTACTAATCTTCAAAATACCATAGCCATTTCTATAATCTGATGGAACCTCTTGCATAACGTCTGTCTTCTTTGATCAGAAATGACAATGTTAACATCAATAGATTCTTGTGCTTTTCTGACAGGAAATATTTTTGAGAATGTATAATCAGTTATGGGTATGCTTGTCAATAAATTTTCCCTGCAAAAATAAATCAGAAAGCCTATCAAAATAGCATTATGGGGAAAATCTGTTTTCCTTAGTAATCCCATGAAATGTCATGCCTAAAGCTCATGGAAATTTTTATTTAGATGAAGGCATTTAATTTGTGTGTTGACCGTCTTCCCAGCCAGCTAGTTTGCATAAATTTCAGGTCCTATGTAAGAAAAAGGTGGTTATAATCTAGAGTCAACCTTTTCTCTATCATTCTGTATTGTTTCTCTTTCCCTGACTGACCACTTACACTTGCCAGACCCTGTGATTTTCACCATAAACCTTCTTTATTCTCCCCACCCACCCACATACATGCCTATCCACCCCAAGAAAGAGTAACATCTTCCTACAACTCCCCTTTGTTTCCCTTTCCCTTTTCTGGGCTGTGAATTAGAATCAGTCTTCTCCCATTTTGAAAATATATCTGTACCCACTCTCACAGTTTGTTCATTTTTAAAAATTATTTATTCTTTCTTTCATTCATTCATTTGTTGTTCATCCAGCAGCAGTAGTTATACATGCTGTGGTGGGTACTGTAGGGAAAAAAAAAAAAAAAAAAGGCATGTAGGCCTGGTGCTGATGCATGGATTTTATTCTGCTGTAGGAGGAATAGTCAATGAAACTGTAATTTGGGCAGGGTTTTAAGGGAGTTGCAAACACAGGCTTTCTGAGCATTGTGGGTAGGGGAGGAGGCCTCCTTATGCCTTCTTTCCTAAGGACCATAGCTTTGTGGCCACGTTTGACAAGACTTAGAATCAGAAGTAGATGAAGTAAAGAGCAAGGCAGTGATGGTTTGGGGCTGGATTCAGCCTTGTTATGTGAAATCAGGGTGCTGCAGTCATACATGCCAATTACTGAGGGACAGCAGAAAAAAGTGGCTTATTAACCTGGGGCTAGCGTCCTAGGTATGTTGTCCACTTACAAAAATAAAACCAGTTAACAGTTGCTAAGAACCAGTTGCCCATGAGTCTAGGTAGTTGATGTACTTTATCCTGTTTTTATAGCAAACCTTTAATGTAAGTATTTATCCCTTCTACAGATGAACAAACTGAGGCTGATAAAGGTTCAAGATCACAAGATCACACAGCTAGTAAGTAGCAGAGCTTAGAACTCAAATCCAAACCATTGTTTCCTTACAGGGTTAATTCCCAATTTTAATAAAATATGCACAAAGAAACTAATACCATAATGAAATACAGTACTTGCAGTCCTGAGCATGAGTGTTTTTAAGTCAGTTTGACAGAGAGGGACATCTGCAGAAAGTGCTGCCATTGCCACTTAGGGCCACTATGTATGGTCACACAGGTTGTAAATTTTGCCTCCTACGGTTGGCTGTAAATGGTACAGTCTTAAGGAACAGTCATGGGCCCAATTTTGGAGTTAGATCACTACAGACTGTGCTTTTATTCACATTTCATTATTACATTTGAGTTGTTTTCTTACTTTGAAAAGTTAGATATATTTGAAGGGGTTGGGTGAAGAAATGAAATAGGAAACTAGGTAATTATTTCAGCACATATAACATACTGTGGCCTAGCTATTAATGATTTCTACTTCACAGGTACCGGGATGGCTTAGTTGGAAGAGTATACCACTCTTGATCTTGGGGTCATGAGTTCAAGCCCCATGTTGGGGGTAGAAATTACTAAAACAAATAAACAGAAAACTTAAAACAGAAAACTTATAAACAAAACAAATGTTTTCTACTTCAAACATAGTGCACTTACTTACTGTTGTCTTTTATTGAGATGTTTATACACCTAACTGACTATAACTATTAGATGTTATACACCTAATTATTCCCCAAACAACCCAGCAGTCACTGGGGAATGATTTTGTTTTGTTAGGCATGTGAGAAACTAGATGTCAGAGCTCACTCTACAACTAGGAGACTGTAGGAACATGCTTGTTGGGAGGGTGTCGCCCCTCCATCCAAATCATGAGCATTTGTCCTTAGTTCCTTACTCCAAGGTTTCATCTCCCACCTGGCCAGGTGTAATAAGCTCCCCACTCACCTTCTTCACCTATAGCCATATAAATCTGGATCACTTTTCTTCTATATTTAAACCTCTCAGTGCCTTCCTTAGGCCCATAGGATAATGTCCTGACTCCTTAGGAACTGCCCTTCTCCCTTCCCCACCCCACCCCCATAGTCTGACCCTAGGCCATTTCTACAGGCTTCTACCTTGTCTTCTCATCTCCCACATAAGAGCAAGATGTGGGGAGAGTAGGAGACTCCTGCTTTACAGATGCCAAGTGCCAGCTAGTATATGTGGAGGGAATGCCAGAGCAGCAGAACACAGCATATCGCCACCATCACAGTAAAGATTGGATCAGGCACAGCTCGTCAATGGATGCTAAACCTAAGCAGATGTATATAGGAACAGGATATTTGCATGGTATTAAAGTTTCTCCCACATATTGCTTCTTAGTTGTAAGGGAAAAAACAGTGATTGTAATGTGGAGAGATTGGACTACAGTTTGTTTAGGATCAAAATTAAGATCACCATTGAGAGCAGAGAGACAGACATGCGCCTCCAGAAGTGATATCCTGAGAAGAATATGACATTATCTTTGTAGTGTTCTGACCAGGAACACTAACCCTAATCATGAGGAAACATCAGGCAAATGCTCAATTAAAAAAGGAGGGAGAGGGAGTGTTGTATTCTTCAGAAGTAGCACTCATGATCACAAAGACAAAGAATGGCTGTGGAAATGTTCCAGATTAGAAGGGGCTAAAGAGAAGCAGAAGCAAAGTGCAGTACCTGACTTGATTGGATCTTGCACTTGAGAGCAGGGGTGGAGTGGGGTAGTTGGAGAAACCATGAAGATCATTATTGGCTCAGTTGACAAAATTAGAACATACATTGTTGATTAAAGTATTGTATCCATGTTAGATTTACTGAAGTTAGTAACTATAACAATACTGTGGTTATGTAAAGGGAAATCCTAATTTTTAGAAAATACACAACTGATGTATTTAGGAGTAAAAGCCCATGATATATGTAGCTTATTCTTAAATTGTTCTGGGTGGACTATATATATATATATATATATACATATACACCCAATTTTTAATATATAAATATCATGTATATAAAATAGAGACAGAATATGCAAAAAAGAAATGGCAAAATGTTAAAAATATTGATAGATAACAGATGAATCTGGGTAAAGGGTCAATAGTATGTAGGTATCTTTGTGTACTACTCATATACTTGTAACCTTTAAGTTTGAAATTATTCCCCAATAAAAAGTTTAAAAATTAAAAATACATATCATGAGCATGTGAATTTTTTTCCTAAATAAATATGTATTTTATTTTCTTCCCCTACCTTTTATCTCTCTCCTGTTTGTTTTCTCTCCTTTTTCTGTGCCTCTTCTTTTAGAAGTCCAAGGCTGGTGAGAAGGGTATCTCTGTGGGGCAGACGGTCATCACAAAGCATCGGAACACCCGCTATTATAGTTGCAGGGTGATTACTGTGACATCGCAGACCTTCTATGAGGTCATGTTTGACGATGGCTCCTTCAGCAGAGACACATTCCCTGAGGATATAGTGGTGAGTAAATTCCTGGGGTCCCTGCTCCCCAGTTCGTTTTTTTTTCTTTTCTTTTTTTTCTTATTAACATAAGTTAACTTATTAACTTTTTAACTTATTAACATTTGCCCAGAGGTACAGGTCTGTGAATCATCAGACTTAACACATTTCACAGCAGTCACCATCACACATACCCTCCCCAATGTCCATACCCAGTTCATTTTTGTATAACTAAACCAGCCATACCTTTCAGCTGTCCTGCTTTTGGCTTTTGGAGTAACTCATTTCACTTAATATTTGATCCAGGTGTGCTTTTTGGCACTACAAAGAAGTATTATTTTCTAGGAGGTTCTCAGTGTTCTTCATAGGCGTCATATGAACTTAGACTCATCTTCCCAAATTCTTTTAATTAAATGAGAAGTGTATGTGTCCAGGAAACATAAAATGCAAATTCACCTATTCTTTTCTGTTACAGAGCATGAGCATATTTGAATTCTTTTATTACCTCCTTTTCCTTATGCTTAATTGGAAAATATGGCTTTTATTAATCTGACCCAACAGTGATATCTGTGATTCAACAGAAACCTCTGTGCATGTGTCATATGGGAATAACAAAAAAGTCACACAGGAAAGAGATGGTGACTTTTACTGATCTTCTTAACTGGTCTGGTGTATATAGGAGGAGTAGGTGTGTGCGTATTCATGTCTGTCTACTTCTTCTGTCCCCCCCATTAACACCTTGGCACTTAGAGAAACTAGTGAATGTGTCTCACAGGCTTGCTTTTTAATAGGATGTTTCACAAGAAGACGACTGTCCACAGAAGGTTTTTTGAAACCGGGGTCAAATCACATACCTGAGACCAGGGTTATTCTAGTGGTCATCTTGTTCTCTTTTGTAGTTAAGAGAAATGTCATTTGGGGAGAGCCAGGCCTCAAAAATGTTGTTGTAAACTCTGCTTTATCTTGGGTCTGTTGATGCTTGCTCTTGTTTATACTTGGACAGACATTTCTTAATTACTCCTTAATAATTATGTGTTATGTGCAATTGATAATTAAATGTAACTGTAGGAGATGGCTCATAAATATTTCTTGAATTTTGAATTCTTGAGTTTTGAATATTTCTTGAATTTTGTTCTCCTGGGGCAAAAGTAACATTGATTCAGTCAGCTTTGTTATGCTTACTTTTCTATGCCATTAAGAGGCACAAGTATGTAAACAAAGTGACCTTATTTGAAACATTTTTAAAGTAAATGAATTTAGACAAATAAAGAAATGCGAGGATTTGGTTATACAGCCAAAGGATGAATTGTGTTTCGTTGCAGAATTCTACCTGGAGCTTTGCTTTACTGCATAGCCGTTGCATTCATCCGCACCCAGGTGGCTTGCTCTCCTGGTTAGAATTAGTTCTTTCTTTTTTTTTAAAAGATTTTATTTATTTATTTGACACAGAGGGAGGAGAGAGAGAGCATAAGCAAGCCCAGTGGCAGGCAGAGGGAGAGGCAGAAGTAGGCTCCCCACAGAGGACGGGGAGCCCCATGTGGGACTTGGTCCCAGGACTCTGGGATCGTGACCTGAGCCGAAGGCAGAGGCTTAACCAACTGAGCCACCCAGGACCCAGGCGCCCTAGAATTAGTGTCTTGAAGCACTCAATCCACAGTTACTGAGAGCCTGCTGTGTGCCACCACTAGGTGCTGGGAAAGATAATGAGAATTCGTGTGATTCCTGCTCAGTCTCAGGGGAGGCAGGTTGGTAAATGGGTACTTTCTATACCATGTGAGAAATGCAGTAAATGAACCAAAATCAACTTAACCACCTGCTGGGTCCAGAAGAATGGACTCCACAAGATTCGTCAGGCTGACGCGGACATGTACCACCGGCCAGTACTTCATCAAGAGTCTGTTGTGCTTGAACTGATTTCATCCTCACAACCCCACATGCTAGTCACTACTATTTTTTACATTTTGCTGCGAGGAAACTGAGGCATTAGTAGGTGAATAACTTCTCCAAGGTCACACATAGCTAATCAGTGTCAGGGAGAGTATTCAGACCCAGAGTCTGGCTCCGGAGCCTCTGTTCTTAACCCCGGGAAGAAAGGAGGAGGAGGGATATGCAAGGGCGAGAAAAGCAGAGAAGGATGCAAGAGACCAGGCCTTGGCTTTCAGCCCTGCCCAGGTCCATGCTCACTTAAGAACTGGCCTTCCTTTGTGCAGGCTGTGACCACTGAGCTGGCAGAGTTGAGGAGTTTTTCCTGGGCGTTGTGGGGTGGGATGGGAGACTTCTGAGCAAATAGTTAGGTCTTTATCCATGGTAGTGTTTTAATGAATCCTAAATTCCCTTTCACTTCACAAGTCTCTACCATTCCCAGCTGATTTTAAGCTTTCCTAAAATGTCTTTAGCTTGTATATTGGAAAAGAATGTCTGTGATCCTGGAAGTTTTTTTGAAATTCTAAAAATCTCTCCTTTGACACCTTCTGTTTCCTCTCTCTGTGAACCCCATACAAAAATGATTTTGAGTATGTGTGGGCGTTGTGAGAAGAACACAGGTCCTAAAATTCATAGAATTGTTCAGGAGCACCTTGGCTTTTAAGTCAGTAAGAATGAAGAAGCAAAACTCTTTATAGCTTGATTAGCTATTATGTGGCACATTTGATAAGGATTTGAGGTATAGCAGTAGGTTGTGTGTGTGTTTGTGGTCACAACTCGAGCCTTCGAGGGAGGGGCAGCAGATGCGTGTGACTGAATTTGTATGAATGATCATTTCTGCAGGGAAAAATAAATTATAATAATCTGCGAGCAGGTCTTCTCTTTTGTCTCATTTTGTCTCCCTTAATACTCTGCCATACCCCTTCCGCTCACTTGCATTTTTGGTTCCTTGTTCCAGGCCTCTTATAGAAGTAGGAATATTTCAATCATGTTTTATTTCCAAATTTCACTTTTATTTTTTTAAAATTTTTAAATAAAAAGATTTTATTTATTTATTTGACAGAGAGAGAGAGATCACAAGTAGGTGGAGAGACAGGCAGAGGGAGAAGGAGAAGCAGACTCCATGCTGAGCAGAGAGCCAGATGCTGGGCTCCATCCCAGGACCCTGAGATCATGACCTGGGCTGAAAGCAGACCCATAAGCATAACTGACTGAGCCACTCAGGTGCCCCAAATATCACATACTTTCTATTAGTATCACCATTTGATGGTTGCTGTGGCCTATTTATTTTTGTTATCTTGGCAAGGAATGAGATATCCCCAGCTTTACTACTTTGGTGGCTCTATAGGGAAGAGTTTTTTCTAGCATTGTTTTAGTCAGGGTTCTTCAGAGAAACAGAACAAATGGGGGTTGTGTGTTTGTATTTAATATAATAAATATGTTAAAACTATGTATATATAAAGAAGCTATATATATAAAGATTGTGTGTGTATATATGTTATATATATGAAATTTTAAAAAACTTTTATTTAAATTCAATTTAGGTAACATATAGTGTATTATTAATTTCAGGGGTAGAATTTAGTGATTCATCAGTTGTATATAATACCCATTGCTCATTACATCAGGTGGCCTCCTTAATGCCCATCACCCAATTACCCCATCCCCCACCCAACCCCTCCTGCAACCCTGTTTGTTCCCTACGGTTAAGAGCCTCTTATGGTTTGCCTCCCTCTCTGTTTTTATCTTATTTTATTTTTCCTTCCTTTCCCCTGTGTTTATCTGTTTCTTAAATTGTACATATTGATGATACGGGACATTACGTGATTATGGAGGCTGGGAGATCCCAAGACCTGCAGTTGGCAAGCTTGAGACCCAGGAGGGCCAGTGGTTTAGTTTCAAGTCCAAGTCCAAAGGTCTAAAACCTAGGAGAGCTAATGGTGTAGTCTTAGTCTGGGAGCCTGCAGGCGTGAGATCCATGAAGAGCGGATGTTTCATTTCAAGTGTAAGGCCCAGAAGACTCAAGTTCGAGCTCCAAGCCAGAGAGGGGGGATTCCCCTTACTTGGGGGGAGGGTCAGTCTTTTGTTCTGTTCAGCCTTTAATTGATTGGATGAGGCCCACCCAAACAGGGAGGGTAAGGAGGGTAGTCTGCTTTACTCAGTTTATCAATTCAAATATTAAACTGATCCCAAAATACCTTTAGAGACTCACCCAGAATAATGTTTGACCAAAGACTCTTTTCTTTCCCTTGTCGTGAAGCTCTGATTCTATGGCAGAGTGTAGTTTCCTTTTCCATAAAGCAGCCACATTGTTTTGGTTGGCTTATAGCACACTATGGATCCACTCCGTTAGCCATATACTTTGTCCTCGTCATCATCTAGCTTTCCCTGGATTTTATAAGGCAAACTTTTAAAATTTAAAAGATCATCAGGGATTGGTTGGGTTCTGTGTTTCTTACTGAAATTGAGGAAAGCTGCATGATTAAATGCCTTTGTAGTGTAGTATGTCAACTAGATTGGTTTGAGATGGGGAATTTGATGTTGTGTTTTAAGATATAATGTGTATAATTAAGTATGTTATAAATCTATTCACATATAAATTATACTTATTCCTGTATATCATATAATGCAAATATACTCACAGCACCATTTTTCAGGCCCTTAGTTGCTGCAATCATCCCACTTCCAGTTTTCTTTTTTAAATATTTTATTTATTTATTTGACAGAGAGAGATCACAAGTAGGCAGACAGGCAGTCAGAGAGAGAGAGGGAGAAGCAGGCTCCCTGCTGAGCAGAGAGCCCAATGTGGGGCTCGATCCCAGGACCCTGGGATCATGACCTGAGCGGAAGGCAGAGGCTTAACCCACTGAGCCACTCAGGTGCCCCCCACTTCCACTTTGATATCCATACACCAGAACTGTCCTCTGGGAGATGGGGATCCTGCCTAGCACCCTAATGGGAAGTTTAATCATCAGATGAGAAAAAAAAAATGTCATCAGGTTTGTTGCTGTCTCCACATCTTGCTGATGGTGGCAGAACAATAATTTTGTGGAAATACTAAATACATTCCACACTCCTTAGAGAAGTTTTGTTTTCAT